CCTACCCACATGGGTGTGGGAGGGTCTCACATGGTCATTTCCCTTTTTTATTATGGAACACGTTTATATAAGGATGCAACCTTATAATGTAGAACTATGGATGCACTTCAAAAATCCATCGAAAAATGTAGTTTTAATGTTGAAAGACCCTTTGATTGATCATCTTGACATCGAGATGTATGACCATGAAAAATAAAAAGATTTTAAGTCTCATAAATAGTGCATTTTACAGCATATTATCAACACCATCCATTTTTAAGATTTTCATATGTTTATAGATCTACTTGATTTTAATCATTTTTTAAAATTAAAACTTTATAATTAGATATAAAAATAGATTTTGAGAGAATCATAGGAACATTTTACATCAAAATTATATATCATGATAAAATTTGAAGGTGCACCTTACCTCTACAACTACGAAAGCATTCTTATATGCCAATTGCACCCTTTTTTTATATATATATATTTAGAATCATAATCTCTATCAATATTGGTTAAGATGATTTTATGAGCCAATATACCTCTCATAGCCGGGATGACCCAAAATGAATAAAAATAGACATTTGGATGGCAGAGAATAGGGCTGTTAATGGATTGGGTCAGGCCTCGGACTTTCGGGTTAGGCCCGGTTCTGGGTTGCTGGCGGGCTTTGGGCTGGGCCTCTATAAACATATATGCTTATTAGGCCAGGCCGACTTGAAAATTTTGCCCAACAAGCCTAACTGGCCCGCTAACCCCGGAAAATGTCTCGAGCCGGCCCATTTAGCATGCTTTTTGTTTTTATTTTTCATTTTTTAACAAATTTTCTTCTTTGTAGTAAACCAAAACAAAATAAAAATAAATATTTGCTAAAATATTTTTAAAACTCATTCTCTCTCTAGAAATCCAATCTCTCTCTAAAACCCATTCTTTCTCTAAGAACCCAATATCTCTTTCTTTCTCTAAATATCCAATCTCTTTTGTTCTAGAAACCCAATATCTCATTCACTCTCTAAAAAAATCCAATCTCTCTCTCTAAAAACCCAATATCTCATTCACTCTCTAAAAACCCAATATCTCATCTCTCTCTAAAAACCCAATCTCTCTTTTCATCTTTAAAAACCCATAATCTCTCTTTAAAAACCCAATCTTTCTCCAATAACCCACTCTCTAGAAGCTCAATATCTCTAAAAATCTACTCTCTCTCTCTAGAAACCTAATATCTCTCTAAAACCTACGCATATTCTATTTAAAAACCCTTACTCATATTCTATTTAAAAACCCTTTCTCTTTCTCTATCTAAAATCTCATTCTCTCTATCTAGAAACTCAACCCCTCTTTCTAAAACCTATTCTCTCACTTTAGAAACCCAATAACTCTTTTTCTCACTAAAAACTCATTCACTCCTTCTGGAAGCTCAATATCTCATTCACTCTCTAAAAACGCAATCTCTATTTCTTTATAGAAATTCCAATATCTCTTTCTCTCTTTAGAAATCCAATCTCTCTTTCTTGTCTCTCTAGAAACTCAATCTCTTTCTATCTTTAAAAACCCAAAAAAAGTTTATAAAAAATATTTTAGCAAGAGTGAGATAAAAAAAAAGGCAAAAAAAAAAAAAAAAAAAAATCGAAGTTTCTTAATGTGCTGATCTGGGTCGAGCTCAGGCCCATACCAATAAGGTACTTAGCGAGCTTCAGACTGGGCCGGGCCTGATCATTGCCAGGCCTTGCTGGGCTTCGATTGGGCCGGCCCGTTAACAGCCCTAGACAAGAATGGTGCATATATTTTGCTTAGTAATTTCATGTGTTCAAAATTGTTTTTTTTAAGTGCGCCTTATGAGCTCAAATTTGATCGTTTAATTCTCTTGCTTCAATCTACGCCATCTAAGTTTTACTGTACTATAGGCGGATTGGTTTTATTATACTTTTTTGTTAATAGGATATTTTCTTATTATTGACTGGCAAATCAAAATTAGTATTCTCATTCTAAAAATCTCATATCAAGAAATTAAGAGAGAGATATTCTCTGTCTAAAAATCTCATACCTAGATTTCAAGAGAGAAAAATATGTCCATGTTCACTTACTCATAGCCCCTCTCTTTAGAGGCACCAAATGTCCATTCTCTTGCCTCCTCGTTCAAATTTAAACAAGCTTCTTACATGCAATTAGGGTAATATGACACATTTACCAATTTACACACAGTCGAGTAAATAAGAGAGAGAAAGTAGAGAGAGAAACAAAGATGCTCATGTTCACTATTTCAAATCCCCTCTCTCTAGCAAGCAAATATCATATCCCTTATCTAGAGCTTAAATATAGAAAAAATTCTTACATGTAATAATAATGGTGATAAGACATATTTGCCTAATAAATGATGTAGAGTAAATATATCTAGTAGAGAGAGAAAGACCTTTATCTCCTCAATTTAAATTTAGAAGAGCAGTAATGGCAGTAAAACATATAGAGAAAAGTTTATATAGAGCCGAGGCTCTAAACAATCAACTTTGAGCCTACCTCAAATATTTAATTAGAAGAGGTTGTTTTGATGCTCAAATATCTTCAAAGTGATCATCTTCACATTAAGATGCATGAACATGAGAAAAAAATGGATTTCAAGTTTTGAAAATAACATATTTTGTAACATAATTTTGGACCATCAATTTTTAAGATTTTCAAGTTTTCATAAATCTATGATCTACGCTATTTTTGAAGCTTTAAATTTTAAAAATAAATATAAAAATATATTTTAAGGCTATCACAAAAATTTTCAATAATAAAATCATATTTCTCTATACTATTTGAAAGTAAGCTCTAATTTGATTGTTTAGAGCCTAGGCTTTAGACAAACCGCACCGAAGCATGTTTGCTTAATAATACGGTGTACAGTAACTATTGTAGAGAGAAAAAGAGACTCTTCTCGAGAGAGAGAGAGAGAGAATCTCCTTAAAAAAGCTTATTGGTCCCTATTCTTTACATTTGCATACGCATGCGTATTCTCCAATCTATTTTTGAGACCCTCAGTCTTATCCAAACCCCACGACCTCTTACCCTAACGCCGTTACGAAGAAAATCAATGCATTTTTGGGTACGAAACGATCTGGACCGTCCGTTCAAATCGAACGGTCCAGGTGCGCACCCATGCCATGTGGAGGCACTAGCATCTTGTGATAGTCGGTGAAGCCCGACCCTGTATCGAGAAATTACGAGGGTGCCCCCAACACTTTGTCAATCAATGGGGTTCTTCTATTTTTGGGATGTGCCTTGTAATGCCCCATTATTTTCTCATATGACATTGCCATCCTTTTTCTTGTGTTAAGTATACCTTCCATTCTTACTATGATCCACATGACCACACAAAGTTGTTAGGCATGGAGGTCATCACCTTCAAATCATTTGAGAAGTTAATCAAAGACGAGAACATGTAGTCAACTCTCTATTAATCACCATACATTTATTGATTAGATGATACAGGCTCTTATGACCATGATTTTTCCGTGAGGAAAAGTGCTTTGATTTTCTATGGTCATAAGGACCACAATACTTCCCCCCTAAGGAAATTTTGAAACAATGTCAGTTCTCAAGGTGCCGATCTTTCTTAGGGTCTAATATGTCATTTAATCTTCGATAAAAATTTCAATTTGGGCAAAATTATTCCTCAATACAAATTAAGAATATCTATAACTGCTTACAAATGTCGATCGACAGCTAAATCGTTCATTAATGCTCCGATGTGTGAGCTCTTTTAAGCCTAGATGTGACTAGTGCACCGTTCCATTTGTACGACTGATCCAAATTAGGCGATGCAGGGCCCATACCTATTTGAATGTGGGCTCCACTAAATTGCCTGATTCCCACCGGCGAAGAACATGGGATCACATCCAGGTGCACCATATCGCGTGACAGGTGCTGTAGGTTTTCAGGCTTTCATGACAATAAATTTTCCATGAGGAAAAGTGCCTGGATTTTCTATGGTCATATGGACCACGCAGTACTTTCCCCATTGGGAAAATTTGAAACAATATGCTCGAGGTGTCGACATTCCTTAGGGTCTAATCTGTCATTTAGTATTCGACAAAAATTTCAAATTGGACAAAATTATTCCCCAGTACAAACTAAGAATATCTAGAACTGCTTTCAAATATCAATCGACAGTTAAACTGTCCATTAATGCTCAAATGTGTGAGCTCTTTTAAGTTTAGTGCCTAGTGCATCGAGACTGTTCCATTTGTATGACTAATCCAAATTAAGCAATGTAGGGGCCTAAACCTATTTGAATGTGGACTCCACTAAATTGCTTGATTCCCACCGGCGAAGAACATGGGATCGCATCCAGGTGCCCCATATCACGTGATAGGCGTTGTGGGTTTCTCTTCGAGAAATTTCCTTTTCTTTCGATGCGCTTTCTGCAAAAGCAACATTCTCCTTAAATAAAACCTTATTGATTACTGTATTTCGATTGCCAGATGTTGACAATCGAAGTCATTATAACATGTCAAATTCAAAATGGAATGTTCCCAGATCCGCGTACCAAGGGCATAATAGTAAATTGGTCACATCAGGACAGGGGAAATTTATTATAGCACAAAAGACTATGGAAAAACCATGATCCTTAGGGTCATCACCCTCCATTGAGACGATGGGCAGTGATGGAAGAGATTGAGATCCACTATTAACATAATTTCTTGTTTTAAAATGCCCCCTATCTCTTTTGCACCGTCCATGGTTGTAATAAACAGTGATGACCCCAAGGACCATGGTTTTGTAGAGTACTCGAGCTTACAGTGCACTCAAATAGAAAACCGAACTTCTGAGGGGCATAATGGTCATTATAATAGATAGAACGGTCGTTGATCGGCCTTAAAGGATACGTTTGACATTTTATAAAAGTCAAGACAATATCGGGATTTTGAATATCTTCTGGGGGCAATATAGTAATTTATCTTTTATCGGTGTTTTCAGTCCCCTTGAAATTGGTGGCATTGCGCCTGTTTTCTCATTATTTTTCTTTTCATCTGAAGCACCAAACGAGTCTAGAGAGAGAGAGGGAGAGAGTTCAAACCCTCACCGCTTTGGCTCCTCCATTGCTTCAACCAAGAAGATTTGTGGAGAAAAAAATCCCTTGGAGAAGTTCGTGAGCTTCTCCATTTTCCGGCGTTTTCCTGGTTTTTCCGGCAGTTTTCTGGCGAGATTTGGTGGAGAGGTAACCAAGATTGGCCTCAAAGGAGCTTCTGCTTAGTATTTGTTGGAGGTAGTTTCTGGTTCTCTTATTTTTTGGTGCATTTATCTCTGATCGGTGAATAATTTACTTTTTTTGAACCGAAACCCTAGACATTATAGCAGGTGTCACTTTTATACCGTTTATATTTGTTCTTGGGTGCGATTTGGTGGAGAAATTACTGATAAAGGTTCCATAATAGGTTCTGGTAGGGGTGCTAGAACTAGGCTTTGGATAGGTTCTCGTTTGGTGTACTTTTCTTTGATCAAAGAAATTTTTTTCTACCGGATGCGATGAAAAATAAATGCAAAATGATGGATTTTGGGACAGATTTTGATAGATACATAGATTGTTGTATTGAAACGCTGGAACTTATTTTGAGGGATAACTTCATTTTTCTGACCAATTTTTAGCTGTATTTTTCACGTATAAACAGACATAAGCCGGATAGTTTCTTTATTAGGAAAAAAGTATTTAGCAGAAAACTTGTCTTCTAATTCTTCTGTTGCATTTATCCCGAAAGTTTTGGTGCAGGAAAGACTGATAAAGCCTCTTGCATGTCCTAAGAGGAACTTTGGAATATTTACATTGAAGTTTGTTCCGAAATCCGGCGAAATTGATCAGAGGGAACTGTGACAATCAGTGACCGTAAGGAAGTGAACAAAGCAGGTATAAATTTCATTGATTTGGCAAAAGCCCAGATTTAGACAGTGATTTATTGTTCTTTCCCTGATAAAGAATTAGTCTTGTGATCTTTTGGTAGAAGAATAACAAGTCTGATTATAAATGGTGGGAGAGAAGGGGCTGGTTTTGTGTGAGAGGGGTGGGGTTATGGAGATTTGTTTTAATGGGTGAAGGATGCCAGAACTGCGCAGTGGAGTGCGCAAGGGCCGAGCGCCTGTACATGTTGATCTGAACGTTAGGACCAGGAGAAAAAGGACTGTGAAAAATAGGCAGGAAAACAACAACAACAACAACGACAACAACAACAGTAATCAGAGAAATAATAAACAGGGAGTAGCTGTGAGGAAGAGAAATTTGCAGAGTGGTGAGAAGGACTTGGTACTGGAGACTGGTGTTGCTGAGGCTTTAGAGGGAAAGGGAGAAGAAGATCTTGGGCTTTCGAAGGAGCAAAAAGAGGAAGCGAAGATGGATGACTATGATAGTGGGGCAAAGAGTGCTGGCAAGGCTCCTGCTGGCGAAGAGGAGGGAAGCACTGCACCACTTCCTGAGAAGGTCAGTTTCCCCTCTCTCTCACTCTTTGTACCGCATTGTTGGTTTTGATTACTTTTGTACTTGTGCAGTAAACCAGCAGGTTTTCGGCTTTCTGTCAATGATTTTAATTGACTCTATCATACACACATTGATTTTTTATATTTATTTTCCTTATATAATGTTCTCATCCTCTCTTAAGATTTTTAGTATGGTAAAGAGTGGTCGAGGAAATGAAAAAGTAGTAATGCAATCCCAATTTGGCTTTTGTTAATATTCATGTGTTGACTTGGTCTTGTCTTTGTTCATGAGTCTCAGAAGATAGATTCGTATTTGTTTGTCACATGCAGAGAAATGATGTATATTGGGATCCTTATGAATGTGCATTCGGTCAGTGGTTTCAAATTGTGAATTTTCTTTTATGATCTAATTCTTGGTTCATGCATGTAACCACTACACTTTCTGAACAATCGTTTTATCCACTACACTTGCATAATGTTAATGTGTAGTGAATAGGATACCTCTGTCTATCCAATACAATATGCATGATTTTGGCTGACTTTAAACTGTTATTCTCATGCCAATCTCCCTATTGGTGGTTGTCCTCCCATCAGCTTTGGTAATTTCATCAAAATGTCATTCTGATGGCTACCTTTTATTTGATGGATAAGCTGGAACTTATGCCTAATGGCACAATGCTGCAGCACTTTCACAATAGCCATCAAGCTGCAACCAGTTGCCCTTTCTGTTGTATTTAGTTTCAAATGAACATTCTTTGGGTCTTAAATAGGGATTTTCTTGTGTGCTTTATTTGTTGAAGCTTCGTGGGTGGCATGATGCTTTGTTCATCTGCATGTCTTCAATTTCTGACTATCAAATGGACCTGAATATATTCTGTATTTTCTGTGAATAGGTTCAAGTTGGAGGTTCCCCAGTCTATAGAATTGAAAGGAAGCTGGGAAAGGGTGGATTTGGTCAAGTGTATGTCGGGCGTCGGGTATCTGGCTCAAGTACGAGTGATCGGACAACTGGTCCTGGTGCCATTGAGGTATAAGGATTATAGAAACTCATTCACACAAATGATGTGCATGTTTTCTATTTGAATGATGAAATTGAATTTTCTGTTTCTTTTTTATAGTGTTGGTGTCATGTTTTACGGGCAATCTGGGTTTAATTTTTCACTTTACTTTCCTGTTACTTATCAAATACTTTTGCATATTCAGGTTGCTTTGAAGTTTGAGCATAGGAGCAGTAAAGGATGTAATTATGGACCTCCATATGAGTGGCAAGTGTACAAGTATGTTCTCTCCATGTTGGTCTTTTTATGCATAATTACTTTGTTTAGATACTCTAGTATGGCTGCCTCACTCCATATAATTTTTTTTTTCTACAGCACCCTAGGTGGAAGTCATGGTGTTCCACGCGTACACTTCAAGGGGCGTCAGGGTGACTATTATGTCATGGTATTCTTCCATTGGCCTGGAACTCCTCCATTGTTTGAAATTGAACATTAAATCATATGATTGATGTTATGACAAAATAGTTATGATTGATGTTGTGACAAAATAGTTTTTTAACTTGCTACTTTGTAACTCGGGTTTATTTTATGGGGTTGTTTGATTGTCATCCAAAATCATTACCAGGTCATGGATATGCTGGGTCCAAGTCTATGGGACGTATGGAATAATAATGGCCAGGCGTAAGTTTCTCAGTTTGGACATGCTTTGTTTCTCAGTTTTCCTGTTCTATCATGGATTAATCTATACATATTTACTTTTCAGGATGTCCACAGAGATGGTTGCGTGCATTGCTATTGAAGCAATTTCCATCTTGGAAAAGATGCATTCACGAGGGTTGGTTCTCATCTCTGAGCTTGAATTTCATTTTTTTTTTTCAATAATTGTACTCTTAGCCTTCTTATTATTGTTTCTAGAGATTTTGTTTAGCTAGCCTTATAAAATATAGATTTTACTCGTGTGCCAAATTAAATGAACTGCAATGGCTTGCAGATATGTCCATGGGGATGTGAAGCCTGAAAACTTTTTGCTTGGGCCACCGGGGACCATTGAAGAGAAGAAGCTATTTCTAGTTGATCTGGGACTGGGTAAGTTATATTGTAGTATCTTGTGTAATGAATCCCATTTGTTTGGTGTACTTGATCTGATGTGAAAGTGTTTTTTGCATCCAAAGAGGATCTAATTTGGTGTATCTTGTAAATGGCGCATCAGCTACTAGATGGCGTGATAGTTCAACTGGTCAGCATGTTGAATATGATCAAAGGCCCGATGTTTTCAGGTAGCAACTTTTGTTTTCTCTAGGTACAAAGTTTTGTGGTTCTGTTGTATGAATTTATAGCTTTTCAAGAAGTTGGCTTAATACTTAAATTCCTTTATTGTTCAGGGGCACAGTACGTTATGCTAGCGTGCATGCCCACCTCGGAAGAACTGGAAGCAGGCGAGATGATTTGGAGTCTCTTGCTTATACTCTCATCTTCCTTTTACGTGGCCGTCTTCCTTGGCAAGGATATCAGGTGGAATATCAAAACCTTCCTGAAGATTCATGATGTTTCATTTAGGATTGATTCATGAGGGCTTTCGTTCCTGTGTATTAAGTACTTCCTCTCTCTTATAGGGAGACAACAAAGGCTTTCTGGTATGCAAGAAAAAAATGGCTACATCTCCAGAGGCACTGTGCTGCTTTTGTCCCCAACCATTTAAACAGTTCCTTGAGTATGTGGTGAATTTGAAATTTGACGAGGAACCTAACTATGCCAAGTACATCTCACTATTTGATGGGATTATTGGCCCAAACCCAGCTGTCAGGCCAATCAACACAGATGGCGCCCAAAAGGTATCCTCGATCCCACTCTCTGATGTTACCAGGCTACTGGCCAAATGCTTTTGTTTCATGGGCTTGGTGCAGAGTCCCATCTAATGCCTATTTACATAATTGTAAAGCTTGTCTATCAGGTTGGGCAAAAGAGAGGCCGGTTGACAATGGAGGAAGAAGAAGATGAGCAACCTAAGAAAAAGGTCAGAATGGGTATGCCCGCTACCCAATGGATTAGTGTTTATAATGCTCGTCGACCCATGAAACAAAGGTATGCAATGAACGATTTTTAAGTCGTGATGGAGTTCGTCGCATATGAAAGGCACTTACAGTCCTCATCAGAGGTTGATGAGTGTTACTATCCTCTTGTGTAGGTACCACTACAATGTTGCCGATGGAAGGCTTGCACAACACATTGAGAAAGGAAATGAAGATGGTTTATTTATTAGTAGTGTAGCATCTTGTACCAATCTCTGGGCCCTTATCATGGATGCTGGTACTGGGTTCACTGCTCAGGCCTATGAACTTTCAAACTGTTTCCTTCATAAGGTTAGTACTTCAAATATTTCTTTGATGATATGCTTTTGATTTGAGCAATTGACTTTGTGGCTGATATCTCTGTTTGTGGATCTGTTACAGGAGTGGATTATGGAACAGTGGGAGAAGAACTATTATATTAGTGCTATAGCTGGAGCAAACAATGGAAGTTCATTGGTAGTGATGTCTAAAGGTTATATTCGTGACTCCACTCATTTGTTAAATCTCTGTTGAAATTTAAATAATGGAGGGACTGACCTTTTTATTTTGTGCATCGTTACTTTAGGTACTCAATATGCTCAACAGTCGTACAAGGTCAGCGATACATTTCCATTCAAGTGGATCAACAAAAAGTGGAGGGAGGGCTTCTTTGTCACCTCTATGGCAACGGCAGGAAGTAGATGGGGTGTTGTCATGTCCCGGAATGCGGGCTTCACAGACCAGGTATAGTTTTGGTTTTACATTGTAAATTTGAACTGAACTTGGGGTATATAAGCTGAGATATTTTACAATATACTAACCAACATTCTTTTTGGGTGAATTTGTAGGTTGTTGAGCTTGACTTTCTTTACCCCAGTGAAGGCATCCACAGGCGGTGGGATAGCGGCTATCGTATTACTGCAACTGCAGCTACATGGGATCAGGCTGCTTTTGTTTTAAGTGTACCCAGAAAGAAGCCAGCAGATGAAACACAGGAAACTCTTCGAACATCTGCATTTCCTAGCACACATGTCAAGGTGATTGCTTTGTAATCTAATGTATACTTATTATTTTATGTCCTGAAGATGGAATTAACAATCAATTAGTATGTTGATAATGTGTTATTTTGGGAAAAAGCAACGAATGTATAATTCATTTTACTTTGTTTATCTTTTGCAATTGATATCTTACAGGTTCTAATTACTTGTTTTTTCAGGAGAAGTGGGCCAAAAACCTTTACATTGCATCAGTTTGCTATGGCCGAACAGTTTCGTGAGCCACTTAAGTTGCTCCTTAACGTAAGTGGTGTACTGCTGAATGGAGGCGTGCAGCCAATGTGGATCATAGTTGTCTGCTATATTTGTGCGCCTATAGTACTTGAACATTTTGAAAGATGCCTATCGCTTTCATCAAAGATAACAGTCTGAGGAAATTTTGATGTGCAAGTGTTTCATGGTTAATCTCTTCCAATCTTGTATGATTCATCATGCAGTTTTAAGTGTATGATGATGTTCTTGCACTTAGTGTCCCTCTTTAATATGAGTATGGTCAACACCCTTATTGTTAAGTGTGTATAGTGTTGAATAAATCTTTACAATACTGCAAACATTCTATATTTTCTCTGCTTTTTGGTGGTCCACTATTGAAGACCTCAAGATATATAGGACCTAAGCACATCTTTGACATTTATCTGGAGATCCCGCTGTTCATTGTATTGGTGACTATTGGCTCCCTCAACTGCATGTTTGAATTCCTAAGCAACTCGATTCTTGGCTATGTGATCAGATTATCTTGCAGCAGTTTACTGTTCTGATCAATTTCTCCTCAGGCCCAAAGCTGTTAGCTAGCTAAAGGTCTTTTTTTATCAAGTAATATTTGGTGATTACTCTCTGTGAAAGAGAGAAAATGGAAGCATTATTTTACTTTCTAGTGGTTCTATTAGATGAATATGTGCTTGTACTTGCCGGAGTGGCTCTTTTTCTTCTGTTGCTGCTGTACTGGTTTTGGACGCTTGGTGATACCTAATCCTAAGTCACTTCAACCAATTCTTTTGGATGTTTCTTTTTGTTGCTAGAGAATTTTCTGCATCTTGGTAAAACCTTTGTGACCAGTGTTTCAAAACTTGGCTGAGTCAACTTGGACTCTTCTGGGTAACTCAGCCTCTATGCCCTGCCGAGGCAAGTTTCTGAAACAAACTCGGGTTTGTTAAAGTTAATAATAAATGACTTAAAATGTATGCATCATCATTATCATCATCAACATCATCAAAGCCTTTTCCTAACTATTTTGGACACGAATCCTGGTTCGCCATTATGCTCTATCAAGGGCCATACCCTCTATATGAGGCTTTGAGTCCCCATATATAAAAATATGGTTCTATTCATTTTTAAGTTTTTTGATGATTTGTGATATTTATTCATTGTAATGCTCTACTTTCATATATATGTTTTTTTGGATTTCTGAATTGTTTTAAGTAATATAAATCAATATTTTAATTATTTTGAAAAACTTTTGAAATTTTTTTGGCGGTGGTTGGACCCCTTATGGCTGATGTAGGACTAGGCAGAGTCCACTCAAACTCGCTTGAGTTGCTCTGCTTGGTAGGGGCCAAGTCCTTGGCATGAACTGAGCTTTTTAAGATTGTTGTGGATGCATTTGAACATATTCATCGATTTTTTAACATTGTTGTGGATACATGTGAACATATTAATAAAAAAAAGTCCAACACATTTGTACTTGGAATCTATTTGGATTCCATATTTTTTAGGCAACCATTCTCTTTTTTTATTATTATTATTATTATAAAAAAATAGAGAACTGGTGATTGGTGTTGGACTTCATTCTCATTATCATCATCATCATCATTCGAGCTTTATCCCAATTACTTGGGGTCTGCTACATGACTCCTGTTTCGCCATTCTACTCTATCAAGGGCCATACACTAAGTCAAATCATAATTCACAATATCTCTTTTCACTACTATCGTCTATGTGTGCTCTTTTAGAGCCTTCCTACGTCTTCCATCCATGTGTGGTCCTTTAGATCCTTCCCAAGTCTTCCATCCATGTGTGCTCTCTTAGAGCCTTCCTAAGTCTACCTAAGTCGCCCCCCTAATTGGTGCTGTATTAGTTCTACGCTTCACATGGCAAGCTTGCCTAAGTCTACTTTTTCTTTATCTTATCATCTATTAGAGCCAGCCTAAGTTCCCTCATATGTATTCATTTTGAATTATATCCTTTCTTGTCTTGTCACTCATGCATCTCAATATTTCCATCTTAGCTACACTCGTCCTATGACTATGTTGTTTCTTGACCGCCCAACATTTCACCCCATAAAGCATGGATGGTCTTACAGGTGTCCTATAAAACTTCCCTTTTAGTTTCATTGGTATGGCGGTGATCATATAAAACTTCGGCTACACATCTCCACTTTGCCCACCCAGCTCTAATTCCATATGTGACGTCCTCAATCTCTCAATTTTCCTAGATTATAGAACCAAGTTTCATTGGTGTTGGACCTCATTATTTTTTTATATCATGAGGATATGGTTCATTTATCTCATATGGACACACTCACAGCCATGGTAATGGGTCTTGTTTGCCATTGAATTTGGGAACAACCCATACTTCAGCGTGTTACTCTCTTGGCCGTGTCCAACTGAGTCGATCAAGTGTCCTCGATGGTTTTTGGCACTTTCAAAAAATGAGTGGACATTATTAAAAATATTGGATGTAGCTGGTATGAAATTTTTTCTGCTATCATTTGTATTTCAAAATTATAGGGACTCATAATTTTTGAAAAATTGTTTCATGCAGGCTGGATCGTGTTTCTACAATATGCGGTCCAGAGGTATAAAGCATCCATCTTAAAGATGGATGCAAATAGGTGGTCCATTTGAAAACAAGTGTAACTACCAGTCCAAATGTTTTCTTAATATAATTATTATTTCTAGTTTCAAATTATTTTTTTATTTCATATTCATGATCTCGATGTTAAAGATTATACATTCTCTAAAAATTAGGATCAAATTGTATTTAAAAAATATATTTATTGCCAAGCCCACATTTCTACAATATGCGGGCTGGCCGCATAGAAATCGTGTCCATAAATTTTTGGGCTACAATTTTCTTTTCTTATTTTTACTTTGTTATTATAAAATGGAATACTAGTGACTGGTGTTGGACTTCAGTATTTTTTGTTTTCATGAAAATTTGGTTCCACATTATTCCACACCAAGACGAACATATTGATTTAAAAAGCGGACCACCTATACACAAAAAATGAGTGCCTTTTTATACCAAGACACACACAGCCATGGTAATGACTTTTTTTTATTATTTATTAGTGGATTTTTAAAGTTTCTAAATTGTTACCTATAATAAAAAAATAATTTGTTAAATAATTGAGTGTGTTTCACCAACGGGGGTTGACTTGATGAGGCAATCTGATTTGTGGTTAGCTTTAATAGATGTGGTAAAACACAGCATTAGAAAAGCTGTCACACATCATGCCTAGTTGGTCCATTGAGGCGGAGTGGGTGCCTAAGCGCTCCGCCTGGGCTGATGCCGCCCTCCTAGGCAGCCTGCACCAAGGCGGCTGATGTGGCCCTCCTAGGTATCCTGTCCCTTGGCAGGCGCGTTGTACCTTGAGGTGCCCTTTTTCGTACTGTGTTTTTGTGTATCTGTATGGCACTTTGAAAACCGGGGCGTTGCCATCAGGGGGCTGCATCCTACCTTGGTGGCGCTTCATTTTTTCAACAATGGTGATACATATGTCATGGCTTCTTTCTCGTTATGGGTTTTACTATTTATAGAAAAACAAATGTGTACTATATATAGAAAAACAGGTGGAAATGTGTGTTTTTAGCATGCATGCAGTAAAGTTACTGGATACTTCTGAGTGGCCAAAGATTTGCTGACTTGCCATGATCAGGTACATTGCACTTAAGAGTTTCATATATTCACTCACATGTAACTTGTTATATTCATTTTTTAGCAGTTCTTATGAAGACATTGTTTTTTAGAAAAACAAATGGGTACTATATATAGAAAACAGGTTGAAATGTGTGTTTTTTAGCATGCATGCAATAAAGTCACTGGATACTTCCGAGTGGCCAAAGATTTGCAGCCTTGCCATGATCAGGTACATTGCACTCAAGAGTTTTATATATTCACTCACATGTAACTTGTTATATTCATTTTTTAGCAGTTCTTATGAAGACATTATTTTTTAGTTTCTGTTCTGGATAACTCGAGTTTTATTTTTATGTGACTTATGTGTTGGAATTCTGAAACGTGCCATGTTATAGAAGCTGGAATGACCAAATGATAGCCTGACAAGATAAGTTCAGTTTTCTGGTTGGTTTCCTCACAGGTTGCAGAAAGATGAAGATTTGATGATTTTCCTGATTCAGCCGGTATTTCTAATTGCATCCTCTTCCCTTTTGCTAGATTTGATTTTGAGGATTGATTTGTGGTAAACAAACCATAGGGGTGGTCTTTTTCTGATGCATATGAAGCAGGAATCAGTTCATATTTGGTAATAAATTATGCTTTTACACTTCTCTTGTTGGTTTTGTTGTTGATGTGGATTTTGGCAATCGATTTTATTCTTCTCTGGAAATGATTCAATGAATAATAATTCAGAGAGTGCTTTTTTCTCTGTATTAGGATTTGGTTTGCCAAATGATTTCCTTGTTTCTTGGCTGGAGTAGATTTAATTCTTTGTTTCTTGAAATATTTCCTATGATTCTAGACCTTTCCCATATTCTCGATTGATTTCTTGTTGTGCCTTGGTTTGTGCAAACTGCTTGTTGATTGTCCTCTTTTCCTTGATTCTTGTGAGTAGGGTTTGTTTTCCATGTTCTTGGTTGATTCTTTTCTTGCTACTTGTTTTATGTCAACTGCTATTTGATCCTTTTGATGTGCTGTGAGCAGATTTCAGATGTGGTCAGTGGTCCTATTAGCAAATTTGTTTTTACACAATTGTAAGTAATTGTTAGGCTGTTCATTGTGCATGAACTTTCTGAATGTAATTGTTCTTATTTAAATTTAGTGGAGGATAGACATCCGTTTTTTAAATAAGGGTTGTTTCTTTTCATTAGGTCCTTCACGATTTGTCTTGCTATTGATTCTGTCATTTTCATGATTTGGTCATCCATATTCAACTTGGATAAGGGAGTAAAGCTCAAATTGGTTGGTCATCTGGTACATTTGAACACTTTGATTTATCCGAACCTTTTTTCCTGTATGGGCGACTAATGGTCATAGCGAGAACTTACTGGGGATATGTTAGAAGTGATCAGAAAAATTGATCGTGATAGATGGAATATGCTGGAAGTTGTAAATGATTTCGACTTGTTCTTTATGTTCAATAACAAGGACCTGGAAAATCCTTGGGATCTGGAAAACCTGGCTACAAGAAAACCAGCCCTTTCTTCGATAACCTGTCTGGATTCCATGGGATTGTGGTATCCCTTGTTTGATTGAACCTGGGATTATGGGTACCCAGTTTGTGGCCATCTGCTTGGAAAATCTGTGCATAGCTCGTGGCCATCTGTGAAGAAATCCCAAAGGAACTTGTGAACAAGCCAAAATTTTCTCCAATTGATGCAAACGAACAGCAATCCTCTTTGCTATTGTTACGAACCCCGAAAGAGAAATTGGTAGCAAAGAAAGTTAGGAATGAAGAGATTGTACCCAAGTCATCAGCAGTAAGACTGGCTATTCGAAAAGTCCTCTGCCTCGTACACATCAATCACCCGATCAAATGTGGCATGGCCCAGATTTATTAGCTGTAGCTTGAGCCCATGTCTTAGAATGAGCTTGAGACCGAGCCATGAAGTCAGGATCATTGATCGACCTTCTCACCTCAGATATTTCGAGTTTGCAATAGTCACTGGCGTAGGCACTGTGTTTGGGGATATTATCTGTTAATATTGTGCAAGTGTTGCTTAATATCGGGCTTGGTTCTTTCAGGAATTTATGTGTTCTCAAAGTTCTGTAGCATGGATAGGGTAGTTCTTTATTAACTTTTAGAGATCAGTTTAGTTTTCTATGACTGCAGTGGAAAAGTCAGATGGTCCTCCGTCCTTGAGAGAGAGCGAGATGTTTGGTGTTTCAATCCATGGCTGCCTAAGGAAGTAGAAAGCTTTTGCAGGGCAGAGGGTGCCAATGTCTGTTGTGTGGGCGAGCGGGGAGGGGGTGAAGTAGGAATGGTGCGTCATTGCTGCTTTAGGTGGAAACGTAAATTGTGGAACCAGGAATTCCCATTGTTAAATGTGGTATTTCGGCAATTCTGGGGGAGCCCAAGCCAGGATTGGACTATCCCCTTATTGGATCTGCTCTGCGTTTAAACATATGGGGATGTAAAGCCTTGTTAACTTGTTTGAGGGGGGGAAAAACATGTGGGATGGAAGCTTTTGATATTGGGTGATTGATGGCCTTATTATGGACTCATTTGGATATTTTTATTAGTTTTCTGGTTTGCTTCCCACCCCTTCCCCCTTTCAAGATTTTTTTTCAACCTTTATATGAATTTTGGCTTTGATATGACTCTCCCCTCACCCAAACACAAAAAAAGAGAGTGATTTTCTGCCATTTTTTATAAGATTTGTAGCTTTGCAGGAGTTATTTTACACAACTCAGATCACAAATTCACTTACCTGAAAGTGCAAGGTCACATTTACCCTAGAGGCTCTGTATTGAGAGGGCCCTTTATGGTAGAATTTGTCTACATGTTTGGATAAGGTTGGTGTTGGATTATAGGGGTGCCTACCTTTTAGCTATTGATTAATGCATGATTTGTGTTGTCTGTAGCATTGCCCCTAACATTTTTGGCACAGGGTTTTTGAGGAGGAGCTGCAACTTGGTCTCCAGGCAAGGAGCTTATATCGATAATATCAACGACCTTAGTGTGGTGCTCGCTGCAAATATACTGTTATTTCCATGCCCTTGTGCAGTGCATAGCATGGACCTCTCAGTATTGGCCAAGTGATCTCGCTCTCTCTATCTGTGGCCCTCTTAAGTACTCTCTCTCTCTTCTCTCTTCCCCCATGGCCTGTCTTAGGTTATTAGCAGTATGGCTCTCTCTCTCTCCACCATGTCCTTTCAGTATTGGCGGTATGAAGGCCCTCAGCCCACCCAGAAATGCTCTCTCTCCACCATGTCCTTTCAGTATTGGCGGTATGAAGGCCCTCAGCCCACCCAGAAATTCGTGATATGATGCTCTCCCTGCCCCACAAGAAAAAGAAGACAACGCACCCACCCATTGGTCCTCAGCATTTGATCTCTCTCTCTCACCCGTTCCTGGGCACGTTTAAGAAATGAATGGGATTCACTTTCACAAGTCTCTCTCTCACTCACTCACTCCCGGGCATTTTTTAAGGAATGAATGGGATGCACTGACTGAGGTCTCTCTCTCTCTCCTGGGCATTTTTATGGGGGTACTTGTGTTGGTGTTTACTGCTTTAATAGGGATCTTGGGATGGGTAAGTGAATCCATAGGCTCTTGGGTAGGGAAATTGTTTATAAAGATGTTGGCAGGAAAGATTGGAACTTAGTGGATGTGGGGATTGAATGTGGCCAGTCTTGAGTTGTTCCCAAGTAAAAGGAGAGGGAAGGTCTAGACTGCTCAATGTGGGCATTACAAATCCTGCCTCATGGTTGCATTGAACTTGGTAACCGGTTAGGCATGGGAAAAAGGAATTGGGATAGGTTAGTCTGTTGGCTTCTTTATACGATTGACACCCCTTTCGCTCGAAACCACATGTTTACAAGTGACTTGAGACTTAAAACCCCTGGCCTCTCTTACTTAGCCGCACATGTTTACAACTAACATGGAGCTAAAGGGCCTTGAAAGCTAGGTTAGTTTATTTGAGTTCTTAGGATAAAGAATTTAGGTTCACCCTGTTTTCTCATCCAAATGTATATTACAACCTGCCTCAGTTTGTGTTTCGTGTACACGAGCCAAGGGTTTAGTGGCCTCTCTTATTGCATTTGCATATTTGGATGTTGGAGGGGCCTTTCCTAGACTTCTTCAGTCTAAGAGTGATGCCAAATATGGTTGTTTTTATGCACTCTTAAGCTCTGTTTCTTTAAAGTTGCGAGCCGGTGTGGCAGCCCGTAGACCCGTGTGGTAATCTCATGGGCTGTGGGAAGAACTATATTTTGTGATATTCCTTTTCTATAAAACTAGGAAGTTATTTCATGAGGAAAAGATTGGTTTATATGCAAATAGGTGTATATGCAATTGCTTTAACTTGGGTACCAAACCATTCAATCACCTTTACCTGTTAATGAAATAGATGTCTATCAAATAGATGTAGTTCGAATGGGTTACAAAGTTTGAGAATTTTTTTTAAAAATTTTGGTGAGGTTGAATAATAATATATCCCTAATTCCTTGACTTTATATCATGGCCATGACCTGTGCCATGTACCAAATGTAAGTGAACATGCTATGAACTTTCTCAACAAAGAACAAATAAATTGATGCATGAGATAGTCTTATAAAAGACGGTTGGTTTCAACATATATGGCAAAGTGCTTTTAGTGACACAGAATGGGCCTTTGTTCTACTTGGTTTAGGTGGAGTCACAATGTGGTATTATAGCTTTCATTTCTACCGGTTAACATGTTTAATCAACAATGATAGAAATTTACAAACAAGAGGAAGTCGAGTTCAAAAGAGGGTTTACTAACAAGAGGAAGTCGAGTTCAAAAGAGGGTGCGGTTTGTATTGGGCTTAGGCTCCAAACAATCAAATTAGAATTTGAGTGCATCTTCAAATAGTGTTGAGAAATATGGTTTCAATATTGAAAAGTTTTGTGATAGATTTAAATTATATTTTGTCTTTAGTTATAAAATTTAAAGCTTCAAAAATAGTGTAGGTCGAGTAGATTTAAGAAAATCTTGAAAATTGACAGCTAAAAAATTAGTTACAAGATGTATTATTTTCTAAACTTGAAATCCATTTTTTCTTGGTATCCGTGTATTTTGATGTGGAGATGATCAATTTGATGATGTTTGGGTATCATGACTAGTGAAAGTTTTGAAGTAGGCTCTAATTTGATTGTTTAGAGCTTAGGCTCTATATAAAATTTTCCCTTAAAAAAAAAGGTGGTAGTGGTTTAATCAAATAACGAAACAACAGCTAATGCTTTGAAATTGATCTCATAAAAGAGGACATTGGGAATAGCATGATGTTGCATTATAATGGATATAACATGAACTCTTATTTGCTTGTGTCAGCTGACTCACTATTTTTCTGTGCCTGCTCGAAAATCCAATTTAAAGATCCAATTAAAGATGGGACTTTGGATCCAAAATTTAGGGTTTGCGAATCGCAACTACGATGACGAAAACTAATTTTATGGAAGACTATGTTTTGGAAATTTTTTCCACCTTGGCTTCTAGTGGAGGCACTATTTTTTAACGTCCATTTCAGAGACCTACGATTGATGCATAAGGAGAATTACAATAATAGGTGATTTGATTCACCAAAACTGCGTTATTAAATAAGCATCTAAAACTAGCGTTACAATAAGTACAAGTTCTTTATTTTAGCATGCCCAACATGATGGAAACACCTAACATACCATTTTGTTATAATTTTATATGCCTTCATAAATGCCATTATATCAAACCAATGATTTAAAAATCGGCGAGTCGAATCGGATTCGTCCGGTTTGACTCGGGTATTTGCACAGCCCGTGTCGGTTTCAGCATAAAATCGGGTACCACCCAGTTATAGAGCAGAACCGTCAGTTTTTACCCGGTTCTGTCCGATTCCCTCCGATTCTAGCAGTTCCTTTTCGGTTCTAGCTTCAAAAGCACTTTCACAGGTGTGTATGCGTCACACGTACGACGCGCACAACTCTCACACGTGTGTATGTGTGACACGAGCGGTATACACTCCCACACGTGCCACACACACTCCCACATGTGCCATATTTTAGCTTCAAAAGCACCTTCACACTTGTGTACGCATCACACACGCACCACTCCCACACATGCGTATGTGTGATACGAGCGGTATACACTCTCACATGTGCCATACACATTCCCACACATACCACACACATTCCCACACGTGCTACATGCACGCGTGCATCGGTTCTAGCCGGTTCAGGTCTCAAAAAACACTTTCACATGTGTGTGGTCTCACCCGGTTCTGTCTGGTTCCCTCCCTGTTTTAGCGGTTCCCTTTCAGTTCTAGCCTCAAAAGCACCTTCACCCGTGTGTACGCTTCACACGTGTGTACGCTTCACTCGTACGACACACACCACTCACACACGTGTGTATGTGTGACACTAGCGGTACACACTCCCACACGTGCCACACACCACTCCCACATGTGTGTACGTGTGACATGAGCGGTACACACTCCCACATGTGCATGCACGTGTGTATTGGTTCTAGCCAGTTCAAGCCTCAAAAAACACGTATGTGCGTGTCACACGTACGACACACACCACTCCCACATGTGCCACATGTGCGACACGCACATGCACGTGTGCATATGCACGGATGCCCTAGTGTTTTCACACTTGTGTTTATCTTCCAATTACATAGTTATCTATATAACATATTTGAATACTCATCTTTCGATGTAGGATAATTCCCAAATATCATTAAATGAAAACATAATGTAAATATATGCTATTAATAGGTAATTTTAAACACATATGCTAAGGAGGTATGATGATTATCACTAATGTTATTTGGAGTTAATTTTTGTTCCCCCTTGGGCATATAATAAATTAAAGCGTTATTTTCAAAATTTGTACGCATTTTATTAATTTTTACATTGATAACCAAATCTTTTATTTTATTTATTAATTTTTAGATTATAAATCTTGAAATGTATTATTTTTCTTACAGTTGTCAATAATACATTTTAAATTAAATAATATTATAAACTATTTCTAATTTGTTATTATTTATCTAATAAAATAATTATAAAATTTAAACTAATAATTATAATTTCAGTATATAATATTATAATTAGTTAGGTTGTAATAATTTTGGATTATAGTTAGTTAGGCTATAATAATTTGGGTTTTGTTAGCGGATTAGGGTTTTTTGCCAAAACGAGATTTTAATAGCCATTCTTTCATTGATTTAGTCTACTCTTTATTATAGTCCATGTATAATTATATATTTTATCCATGATAAGTCTATGATTTTTCTTTTATGTGATGCAAATTTAATACTTAAGTTTATACAGAGATGCCCGATTCAGGTCATCGATCCGCTTTCTAAACCATTGCATCAAACGATAATGCTTAACATCAGTTTTATGGCATTAATTTAAGGGTGCGGTGCCAACCATCAACAGAAGAAAGGCACAAAAATCTTTCTAAAAGGTGCATATTGCATAAAAAAATCCCTAAAAGTAACTTAAAAGATTTATTTTACTTCTAATTCTTAAATTTGAAGTTTAAAAAATGATATAAATCAAGCAAATCTATAAACACTAAGTTTTGTAATTGACAATCCAGGTAGTGTGAGACAATGTGTATTACTTTAAGAAATCCGCTTTTTAGTGTCCATACATCTCAAAATTAACATGATCAATTGAAGGGTTTTTTAACATTGAATAACCAGTTTAGGTGGAATTTTTTTAGCGGTACCTTGCTTCTATAGGATAAAGTTGACACATTATATACACTTTTCCCTTGAATGAGTGGGGTAAGAGTATGCTCGTCTAAGACTTTGTAATCTATGATTGACTCATGATATTATTATTTCTTCGAGGCAGTCGGTCTCCATAAAAACAAAGTGCATTTAAGAGAGATTTTGGACCTAAATTTTAACCTACTTTCGTTATATAAATCTTGGACCTAAAATTTCGTTGGTCAACGACCACAATAATGAAATTGAACATTATCGATTCAAATCTTAGAAATAAATTATTTCAAATTATATATTTAAAATGTTCATCACTACTTAATTTGCTTAAAAACAATTGTTTCATGCATGTTGGACCGCATTTGTACAATATGCGGTCTAGAGGTATATGGTATCCATCTCAAAGATGGATGCAAATAGGTGGTACATCCAAAAGCAATTGTAACTAACGATCGAAATATTTTTTTAATATAATTATTATTTCTAGTTTTCAAATTTTATTTATTTTTTTCATATTCATGATCTTCATGTTAAAAATTATATATTTTCTAAAAATCAAGATCAAATTATATTTAAAATATATATTTATTGCCAAGCCCACATTTGTACATGTGCGGGCCTGGCCGCATGCTAACCGTATCCTTTGCTTAATTCTTCACGTATGAAATCTGCGCTGTTTTGCCACAAAGTCATGGATCTAAAGTGAAAATGCATTTAAAGTGGAAGTGACATAGGATGTGTGATATGATTCTCTGTCTATCTCTAAGAGGACATTTTTAGAAGGGTGCCGCTTTGAATATGGCCTCATTTAAACGTTACCCATGTGTAACTTATGCTATATGATATGTATGCTATATATGGATATATATTTTTACTTTGATAGTTGATATTTATTTTTTATTTGATGTTTGATTTTCCAAGATATCACTAGAATATGGTAATTCAGACTTCATTGCCCATTTTAAAAGATGGAAAATGTATACGATGACGTCATTTATTTTTTATACATAGAGGTCATAATTATCGTTGACTATTAGACTTCAAATCGAGTGGTTGAGGATGTGTCATTGTTTAGGTACAATGTTCAAATCAAAATTTCTCAAATATTGCGACACACTTTCATCTATTGGATTTCACATACAATGGCGAAAAGTGATTGTGACCTCCTTATACTAAAGATGGATAGTATCACAGTATACAATCCTTAAAAGATGCAATTATTAGTTACATCACATCTTAGTCTTCACACTCAAAACAGATATTATAGCAAAAGCCATACATTAGGCTCAATTTTGAAAGAGGTCTTAGGAATATAGCAATTCAGACTTCATTTTCCACTCTAAAATATGTAGTAAAATCTTCCCTACCATGGCATAAATATGTAGTTAAATCTTCCCTACCATGGCAAAAGGTTGTGATACATGGAAGGCCCCCCTTTGAGGGGTGTTAAAGCGAAACTTTGACAGGAGCAGCTAATATCCTTATATAGTAGGCAGATTCCAGGGATCATATCCTCTACCCACAAGAATAGGTAGAGTCCAGGGTTCGTATCCTTATGAACCTCCACACTATGCTGCTCAAATGAGGCAGAATGTGAATCGCCGATGCAAGAATTAAAGTTAATACTAGAGATGACTAGATTGCTAAAGGTTGAAGGTCATCATCGTCAAAGCTTTTTTCCAACTAATTGGTACTAATTGTCGAAAGTAACTTAAAACAAAGTCGTCCATTGGATTGAATGAGAGTATTGGGACGGATGCTTCAACATAACGTCCACCTTCCATTCCCATTGTCCACACATAAAAAAAAAAGAAAAAAAGAAATATTATTAAGTCTCCTTCAACCACCCTTTTGGCTGCCTATTGTTGTCAAGAAATTTGAGAACGTGAACATTCAGCCATAACATTTTTTTGGTAGTCTTAAATTTTTGTTAAGAAATATTGAGAAAGAGGTAAGGTCAGATCACTAGAGAAGCTGACTATTTGAATTTTTAGTTGGACCATCACAGAAACTTTGGTAGATCAATGATTGCTCCATAATGCAGATATGGTTAATGGCATTTCATTTTGCTCTCTTAAATTCGTCACGCATAAATCAAATGTAGGGACTCAAGCACCTCAAATTTTCTTTCAAAAGATATGTATACATTCACAGATAACGATAAATAAACAAAGGGACTTTCCTTTTGTACCCCTGTCCATTTTTTTCCATTTAAGAACAGGTAATGAAAATTAGCATACTAGACATGTGGCATTTTGAATAGGGGATATATGCCATATAATACCATTTACTTATGGTACAAGGAGATCATAATGGGCACCAAGAGGTGTGTCACAAAGTTCAAAAAAATTTATTTAGATCTTTCGCATGATTAATAGCCCATCACAGCCATCCAATCTCACATGTAACGATCAATAGTGATAGTGATATTCTTGTACCAAAAATAAATGGTTTTAGTTATATACTTTTCTTTTTAATATTCTCACACATTACCAAATAGCAATTAAAATAGTAGCTGATAAGTACGTGATGCATTAGAAGTTGTAAATAAACTTCATATTGGATTGTGAATTTGCTCACACATACCAAATAGCAATTAAAAGAGTAGCTGATAAGTACTTGATGCAATAAGAATACTTCATAGTAGATAGTGAATTTGTAATGTCCATCTAGAAATTTTGGAAAAGAAAAAGAATGTCTTCCAAATTTTAGATCTAAGCATCTCATCAAACTAAACTGCTAGCATATGTTAAATAGGTTAAAAAACACATTTTAGGATATATTTTTCATTTTTTTTATTTTTTTTTATTTTGTGATTGTTCATCAAAATGAAAAGAGTGTATATTTAAAAAATAAGGTCAAACAAATGGCCTTAATATGATCTTAAATATTGTTTCATTATATTATTATAAAGAAAAAGTATATAATGAGACCGTTACCTTTGATACAGAGTGGTTACAATTAATCTTGACTATTGGACGACTACATTTATTTTATTGACTAAACTCAAAGTTTAAAAGAAATTTTATCAAACTTTGTGATACACCCAAACAAATTTCACATCGGATGGTTGTAAGTAATTGTGACCTCCTTAAAACAAAAGTAAATAGTAACAATCCGTATTATAAAATTGTTACATTAAATCACTCCCTTAAATAAAGGGAAAATGAAGAATACACACTTGCACGGTGAACTAGAGGGGAAAGAATACTATGTTATTCACATAACCATGGATTGGGATATAGCCATCCAATCCATGGATGCATAGTTAATAGAGCAGCGCCACCAGAACATGATATGAACTAAGTGGTAGGCCCCACCCCCGCCATCACCATCCATCCCTTAATTGGGATAGATAAACAATTATGGGCATAGATTTTCTATGTTCATGTGGATCATAATATACTTCCCAGTAGAAAGTCAAATAATCTGATTGGGGTGCCAAAGGGACGATCAGATCCAATTTGTCAATGGAAAAAATCAAATTGAAGTATATGAACCAAACACAAAAAGTCAAGAATGGTATTTACTATTTTGCAAAAAGCCGGAGCCACACATTCATAAAATTAAAGTTACATTAGGACAAGGTGGATCAAACAAACATCATGATAAAAAGCTAATTTGCTCTATGAGGAAATTCATCTGACATTGTTCGCCAATAAAAAATACATCAAAAATATGTTAAGAAATGAAACAAGGATTGCATACTACCAGAGCAAAAAAAAGCCTCAAGAAGCAGCAATGGCTACAAAGCTCAAGATGGACGCCGGCATACCCTTCTTAGACGAACTCTTTCCTGGGATTAGAAAACAAAGCTTCCATATAAGAGAGAAATATTTGCATTGATAGCCATTATGTAAGGGCTGTCTCAATGATCTTCTTCATATGAAAAATAGGCTGGAACAAGTTGTGCAGGTTAGTAAAAAATTCAGAATTAAAAAACAGTGCCCGAACCAGTCAAAGTTATACAAGTGACTACTTTATCCCACATATTCTATGCATTATACTAGATACTGACATTTATCTGGCATTTTTCAATACCACTTGGGAGACAAAATGGTATTGAGATAAAATGACTGGTCATGACACTGTTTGGAAATTACAAGTTTCTTGAGCATCTGCACTATGCAGTTGTTCCAATTGCGCCCCGATAAGAAAAAAATATAATGTTTCCCAAAAAGATTAGATTATGTAGAACTCAAATCTACCTCAGCCTGATCATGATCATAGCGAACCAAGAAGGTACACCTACAACCCCTTAGGTCATGTCGCCTCCTCTGGACTTCGATGACATGGGCATCAAAGTAGGTGGCTAGGTTCTCACCTTCCTATGAAAATTATCAAGTAAAATTTAATCAGATGTACACTATTATACAAACAACAATTGACTTGATATACAGCGCCTTGATAAGGTGAAAGTAGATATTAGATATGTATGTGTGAGTATGCATGTGCACGTGTGAGATTCACATGTTCCTTGGCACAAAAACGTAATCAGAGAGATTGTTCTGATCTAAAAATTCAGATCATCTTTACTCATCTCAATTGAAGAAAAAAATGCTTTGGAAGAAAACAAAAATCTCGAAATCAATTCTTCCTTGAAGATTGACTCTTAAACATCCATTTGAGGGACTATCAAACTAGGCTTATAAGAGCTCAACAATCAACTTTTTCCCAAAAAATTGTTCAAAAGGTGAATCCAAGATGCAATGAAAATTTTCAAATCAAAAGAATCCCCTGGGAACAAGACCACGTGTACAGGGTGGTAGTGTAGCGAGAGCATCCTAGCAATATGAGAGAGAGAGAGAGAGAGAGAGAGAGAGAGAGACATAGAGAGAGATGAATTACCCGGAAACAGAGGACAAGATCTCCAGGCATAACCTTCCCACATTCAGAAGACTCTAAAGGAATAGATCTCCGACGAACAGCTCTTTTCACATTAACCCACTCATCCTCCTCCGCACCAAATCCCGTAAACCTGACACGTACTTCCTGAAACAAAACTATTTATTCACCAAAAGATATGGTATTTTCTTCTGGGAAAGATGATGATGTGATTTGCTAAATGAAGAGAATGAGAGAAATTTGGTGTTCATCATTTTGGTATTTTTCCTTTTCTTGTCCTTAATTTGGTCGGAACATCCAAACTCTTAGGTGAGGGCCAGAGCCCTCCCAATTTTTGTGAAATATATAAGGATGGCCTAAGGGTGATAGTCGGATAAGGTTGACCCGCTTAACCCGGTCCTCATCTGGACCCGCCAAGTGGACCAGGCAGGTCAGAATCGGATCCATCCCTGTGTGTGCCTATGCATGTGAGTGTTCGTGTGTGTGTGCATTTGTGCATATGCATGTGTGTATTCATTTTATATTTCGAACCCTACCAAACGTGACCCGGCAGTTCTGGTCGGCATAGGATCAGTCCAACCCAGACCCACCCATTTACAGGTCTAATGATGCCATTATTTATTTATTTATGATAAATTTTCATGACAATATAGTGTGCTGGAAATTGCTAAAAAGAATTTCCATTGTTTTTGAGGTTAAAATATGATGGGTCTTCAAAACTTCATCCTAGAGCAAATCATCATCTACTATTGACAATAATCTCTATCCTAAAAGGATTACCATGATAGGTGCAAATGTCTTACAAACTATGCAATTTCTCAGATAGATTAGTGACCAAGACTCATTCTCTTTCAATATTAGTAGCCAAATCAAAAAAACAAAAATAGCCTAAAGCAATTTTACTTAATGTCCTAGAGGTCTGTCTGCTATACATGTTAGCCAGTGTCAGACACGTGTATCTAGGGACAGCTTCTCCATCATTGTAATCTTGTTACTAGTCTCTTATAATCCTAAGGAGGATTTAAGTCATTTTTCTTGGTCATTAACAAAAAATGGTTCCACCCTTGGCACATATTGCTTTTGGTAGAATGGGAAACATATGATTATTCTCCCATTTTCATATTACAATGAATTGTTCAGGAATCTCTGCAGTTGCCCGGAACTTATATAGGAGGCAAATGTGTTATATAAAATTTTTTGCTCGTCTATGCTAATGATCAGTCATCATTACAACTAACAGAGATCTAGTTTATCTCCCCTCTCCCCGATTTATATGGAAAATCTATAAGCGTTGGCCTTTTAGAACGCCTTAAGAACTGACTGCTGAAATTTGTGACATACTCGGCAAGTTTGGACAGCACCCCTAGTTCCCAACACTACTACAAAACTAGGGAAAAACCAGTTTTTTTTCCTCCCTCACTATTATCAAACACCCATTGTTTGGAGGCAATTTCTACACAAGTGGGATTCAAATATTTAATTGACACAAACGAGTTGCAGTAGGGCTCTTGCACAAGTGAAGGAAGAAAATACTAAAATTCCTGTTTAGTGGTCTATCCAATAGGGCCTTAGATGGCACCACTATACAAAACATAGCATATATGGGCATATCTACTCTATGATGCATGTATCCATTTGCGAGGATGCTATTGCATTACTCATGGCTAAAATAACTATCATCCATGACTATGCAAAGAAAGAGCCCTTCAATTGACCAATGAGCGGGGTGGCTCGGTCCAGTCTGGTCAGCCTAGTCGTGACAAAATAGGGCCTGGGCCATAGCGCTGGCAATGAGCCTATAGTAAGCATCAACGTTGGCTTTGCTTGATGGTGGCCCTAACCATTCACTATCAATATGTCAAAGTTTCCAATCTTGATGTTGGTGGTACTGCTTTAAAACTTTAAAAAAAGGCAACATAGACCTAGACAGTGATGTTTCTAAAAGAACTTCAGAAAAAGGTACTCTTAAAAAACACTTTAAAAAGGTACTTCTTGGGATTTGATATGCAGACTTATTGAAGTAGGAAAAGCCACACTATCGCTAAGGACCTTAAGTTTCTTATGTTCAAAAAAGTGATGACACTTTAATAAGTTTCAACACTTCAAAAACTTTTAAGAAAATGCCCAATACGTATGGTCACCGTGTCAGACCTGTGTCTATGCTTGTTGACATGTGTCTAAGTGTCGATACGAGTCAACGCGTGACACCAGCTCGTATATCAAGTATCTAGGTAAACACTGATTGTGATGCCATTAATGAAAATCCAAGGTATCGTTGATATGAAAGTCTTTAAACTGGTGAATATCAAAACCAGGTAAAGGCTTGGCTTTATGATCTTTCATCATGTATGAGCCTTGACACATAAAGGAAACCAAACATTGTTGAGAGAAGAAAATGATATGGAGAGGCACCATATTTTGTGACCAAGTACTCAAAAGATGGACAAGTTAGAAAATTTCTTGTCCTACCAGGGACTGCACCATTTAGCCCTTGGTATAAGGACAGTAAGGAGCGCAGCCACTTACCCATTTAGATTATATAGGGAAAGGGTAAGGAGCAAAGCCGCAATGCTGATCAACGGGATGCTAAGGTGTGAAGCTGTGCTTCTTCCTTATCCACCCCTTCTTTACCTTCCCCTTCCTTCTATATAGTAAGAGAAAGCGTCAGAACTGAAGATTTGTAAAAGATAAATGAACCTCAAAATTTACATGTGGACAAATAAAGGTAGCTTGAGGAGGGGAGGAGAAAGGCAAATGAACAGGCATAGATCACATAATCTAGAATTAGTAGAGGGTTAAGCACGTATTGGACATGACAATTTTAGCATAAACTAGCCATCCTTGCCTGGTCCTACCATCAAAATGCAGTGAAGTAACAACAAGCAATGGCTTCTAAAGACAGTCAATTCAAATTGATCATGAATTATACAATTTGGAAAAGAAAAAGCATTGACCTAACTCATTATGACAGTCACAGTGGGTGCTACTTACAGGTTCACCAGAATGAAGAATTCTGTGCGTCAGGAATAACGCAACGTCATACCTGCAAAAAGGTATGATAAATTAGTAAATAAATTATTCCAACACAAAAGACAAAGTAGAGCTTATTGGCATTTCTTTAAAGGTAACATTATGACAAATATAGAATGTAACCCATGCTTCAGGTATTGAATGTAACCAGTCAAGCAACAGTTACAAACAAGAAGTATACACGAGAGCTGCTCATGTAAATAACCATTTCATTGCTTCAGTTCCTTATAAATGTAACTCCCCATTGTACTCAAGGTGTAACAATGAATGTTTTGTTAAGATCCCAGGATACGTATGATGCTTACAGATTGTTTAAGTTATAACCATATACTTCTAATTATATTTATATCCAGAATATTATTGCAAATTCGCAGTAGTCCCTGATAAAAAAATAGTAACTGCAACACACCAACACATGCCTTCTGTAAAGATGAATAACTTTTCTAGAATATCGGAGTTACAGAATGACACATTGACTAAATGCTAAGTCAATCGCATGTCCAACCATAAATACTTGCATAGTGTCAACCATGAAGTGTTATATGACTAATAGAAACTACTAATATAAAAAGTGTGCTCAATCACATTGTCGGTGTTTATGTTATCACTAACCATGCCCCATCTTTTGCTGATCTAGCCTCAAACTCCAACTCAGATAGATCTGAAACCTTGTCAACTGTTCCAAGATAAACATCAGTCATATATCATCTTTGTCTTCGAAAAGGATTCCATGAAATTTCTCAATTATGCAATAAATGATAAATCCGACAAATCTCTCAGTTATGCAATAAATGATGAGTTGAAGGAGTATGCCGATTTATACAGTGAACTTAAATATTTTGATTGCAATATGAGAAACCAGTTGTTGGTTCTGTGCATTCATAAGAAACAAAAGGTCTGAATGAAATAGAACAGAATTCCTCCGATAATCATCCCTCTGAATAGAATATAGATAATTGAGGAAGTAGAATCAGCATACTATATGAGGTGTATGCTAGAAAACAGATATCTAGGCCATCGACCATTTGTTCTCAAGAAAAAGAGCGGAGATTAACCATTGTACTGCTAATGCGTCTGTCATGTACTTAACTATGTAAAACAGTTCAGTTCCATTGTCCATCTCTTGAGAAGCCATGGTGGATGTATCACCTGCGTGTTGTACAATATACATATTTTCCCATAGTTAGGGGTGATAATGAGGTCATGTCGACCTACTGCCCCAGCCGGTTGAGCCCCCTATTTCTGTGTCTAGACCTGCCAGGTAGTGCCGGCGTGTCAGGTCCCCATTAGGGTCAACCTGACCCAACCTTGTGTGTGTGTGTGTGTGTGTGTCGGATGGACCCAATGACAGTTGACTAAGACCCTATCCTATCTGGGTCTACCATGGACCCCACCCCGAGCCATTTACAGCCCTACCCATAATGTAGATGGCTGACGGAACATATATCAGAGGATGAGTACAAATCATGTTATAAAACCTTTAAAACTGTTCATCGTGATTAATAAGTAAAGTGGTATCATGTTTCTTAATGTTTTGATGTCATATGCTAGTCTTCATCCAAAGGAAATTTATAGACCAAGTCACCAAGCCATACCACTGATAGGCGCAACCGCAGAGCTCTCATGCATATTCTTTACAGGGCTGTCATCAAGAACAATCACTTCATTGGATGGGTCAGGCAATGAAGTATCTCTGTCTTTGGGAGTTTGTCTCTTGCTTTGAAACCAACATTTAACCTAAACATCATTTCAAAGAAAAACAAAAGTTTAACATTTAACCTAAACCATAACATGGGTCAAAACAAAGATTTTGCAAAGAGTGCAAGATGAACTAGAAAAGTGCATGCTCACAAACCTGCTCCCAATGAATGGGATTCTTTCCAACACAACCTGAAGCAAGGCTGAAAGAGCAGTTCAATTAAGTAACAGAAAAAAACTGATGATTGTTAAGGACCTATAAATATCACAATCATGAAAAGGAATTCAAGTTGCACTCAAGGTTTGATCATGCTTCTTTAAGGACTCAGTGAAGTTTTCAGGTAAAAGGAGCCATGCTCACTTAAATTTCTCCGTAATTGACTGATAAAATTTGGGATCGAAAGATTCATGTTGGGATTCCTGAATCAACTTTTCCATTTGCTCAACCTATCAACAAGGTTAAAAAACAAAATACATCAATTTTGGTTCTTTTAATCCGTAAAGTCATGACCATTGCTAGATAATAGAGATATCCCAATTCCCATGCAGAGGAGAGGAAAATAATCATTTGCTCATTATTAACAATTTCTTTTTCTGATCAGCACCTATAATTTTATTATAGAGAAAGGCATTATAAAAAGATTAATAACAAGTTTCTCACTCTTAAGCAGTGATCATTAAGTATGTCACTTTCTAGACCTTTATTGATTATGTACTACTTTAGAGACTAAATTTATTACTCATGAACTTCATATGTTACTTTTTTTTTCTTGTTGAAGGGCAGGTGGGCGTTAGTTATAAGATCCAGGAACATAAACAAGATCTTAATGTTATTGTGTGCCACCAGCATACTGATGTTGTACGTAACAAACAAACAACATCTTAAGGAGACCAAACAATGAGATTGGGGCTACAAAACACCACCACTATAACACAATAAAATAGTAATTTATATCCACATGTTCCTAACAAAGGCAGCATTTTATATGGATTTTCAAATAACTATTAAAACACTCTTTAAGAGCTATTAGTACACATTTATCTCCTTATCTTTGCCCCTGTGAGGGCCAAAATAACCAATAGAAGCTTTTGATTTGGAGCTTAGTTGAAACTTTAAGGAGCCTTTCAAAGTATTATCCACAATCAAACGTTTCTATTTAAAGATGAAAATATTAAGTATGACTTCAGAAACCCCAAAAAGGGCATGCAGCCATAACAAGATGCATCAGGAGTTCAATGGATTTGACATGAAGATTCCCGAGCAAAGATTGTATCCATGCAAATGAATGTGATATATTATATTTAAGTTTAACCCCCAATCATATAATGGTGAAAACCTAATGTCTTGAACCACTTTTCAGTCTTTTTTCTTGTATTTTTTCCGATTAAGCTAAAAGGTTTGTTAGGAGATCAAAATAGTCTTTTATTGGGAAAATAGCTGCTGATTACATTTGCTATTATGTGCTATCCGAACTCCTTATATTGAAACATAATGCTTGAGTAGGGACCATAAGTGTGGTATTTCGCTCAATTAGTGATCCCAATATGCCAATTATATGCACCACATTCCTTTCCAAATCAAAGGAGTAGATCATATTCAATTATACACTCATCAAAAAAAAAAAAAAGCTAGGTCAACCCAAATAATTGCAACATCACCAGTGAAATTTGAGCTCCTAACCCAAACCAGTTTTTGCTTCAGAAGGTTGACCCTAATATGCTTTTTCTATGCATGAGAATATGTCCCAAAGCGTAGCTATTGAAAAAGGGAAAACCCCATTTTTCTCAAAGACAGGAAAAAGGGAAATCCCACACTTATGCTCCACTTCCTAAGCATTATGTTCTAACACGGGGAATTCAAATAGCAGATGATGGCAAGTATAATCAACAAGAAATTACCCAACAAAATATCATTATGATCTCCTAAACCCACAACCTAGATGATCCCCCATCATCTCTAAAGCATTTTTCCTTGACAGAATCTCTAAGATTTGAAAAATCAAAAACTCTTTTCCCAAACCAAGTTGGAACATCTTCTTTCTCTCATACTGTTTTTAACAGGTCACAAATGTCCATTAAGAAATGGCTCTATAGAAGAAACCACAGTTAGCTTGATCTGCCTCCAATCGTGTAATAATTCAAAATCCATCATCCTCATCATCATCCAAGCCTTATTCCAATTATTTGAGGTCGATTACATGAATTTCGTTCCTCCATTCTTCTATAGCGAGGGCCATACCCTTAGTAAGACCAAAAGTTGCAATATAATTTCTCACTGCTTCTATCCATCTCCTTTTGAGCCTTCCCCTTACCCTTTTAGAGTCTTCTGCTTGAACCAAATTGCACCTCCGGACTGGTGTTGTATTCGGTCTATACTGCATATGGCCAGCCCACCTAAGTCTACTTCCCCTCATCTTAATGCCTATTGAAGCCACACCTAAGTTCCTTTGTATGCATTCATTCTGAATTCTACACTCATCCTATGGATACGTTGTTTCTTGACCGCCCAACATTTCATCCCATAAAACATGGTTGTTCTTACACCTGTCATATAGAACTTCCCTTCGGTCTCAATGGTATGCAGCGATCACATAAAACAATAATCATTAAAACTTAAAGACATCTTTAATTTTTCTAATATACACCCATTTGAAAAAGTTTCAAATTAACCATAAGAATAATTTTATTTTTGTTAATTGCATTGAAGTCTTTGGTTTTCCCAAGTGAGTTAGTGCTCTCAAAATAATTGAAGTAACAAAAAATAGTTTATTGTAGCAGCCTGTATCAGTTCAAAATAAATGAATAAAACAAACAATTATTATGTATAATCCAAACATATAACCATACACATGACTTATTTCATCCTTTCTTAGGTGTCAAACGAAGATTTCCACTGCATACCTGAATTACACAACTAATGCAAGGAAAAAAATAATAAACCAGATTTTAAAAATAAAACTAAAGGTTTGAGATGTTATAGCTTCTCTCTGGGTCTGCAAGGGAGTCCACCCTAAGATCTTTTCACAAGACCAAGTCTAAAAAAAGACTAGAAATAGATAGGGATTAGCATGGTTGGAATATGTTAGACTTGTTTTTAAGAGACAAGGGAGATATCGAGTTTAGTTTGTTATTTTTATTTATTAATCCTTATAAGTTTGTATTTAAAAGGAATATGTCCCTTATTTGTAAAGAGAGGCTATTGGAGAATAAAGAAAGAGTTTTGATCTTGTGAAAAGATCTTGGGGTGGACTCCCTTGCGGATCCTAAGAGAGGATATAATTTCTCCAGCCCCTTTATTTTTATTTTTCTAGTTTACTTTTAATTTTGTGCATCAGTTGGTATTGGAGCAAAGAAGATCCAGCCATTGCAATGCTGCCGAAACCTAATTATGATATGGATGATCACATGGGACAAATTTTAGAAAATCTAACCAATGTCATGGAAGATGTTTGAAGCAAAGTTCATAAAATGAATTAGCAGTTGCAGCAATTGGAAAACACCATTATTTGAGAAGAGGGCGCTCGCAACCATGAAGATCCAACACCAAGTTCTACTATAGAGATGAATCTAGTCCCACGACTGACTCGAGGTGCCGATTCTGAATGTAACAACCAAATTGTGATACAGGTAACAAAATCTGAGGAACATCCACATGATCTCGTTATTAAGGTCAATCTTTCCGAATTTTATGAGGAACTTGAAAAATAATCAAGATTAAGCTCGCTCAGTGTTCTACTTCAAGATGCGAACAAAATATTTGATAAATTGGTTTATTGAAGACAAAGTACCGAGAAGAATGGTGGGACTACATCACCAATTATTCGATTGGTCTCTGAAGGATGTAAGCTTGAGGTCGAGCTTCTCCCAACCCTGAGATAATGATGCAAATAAAAAAATTTATTTTTTTATATTTTTTTAGCAGTTAGAAAATATGTTATCTAGATTTTTAATTTTTTTTAGGGTCATTCTTGTTTTTTTAAGTCGTAGAGATTTAAGGGGTAGAATTGAAAGTTTTGTTTTTTTTAAAAAAAGATAGATTTGGATAGGGATTAACATGGTTGGTTTGGTTTGGTTAAGATATGTTAGACTTGTTTTTAAGAGATAATGAGAGATATAGATTACTTTTTTTTTATATTATTCTTTTTAGTTTGTATTTAAAAGGAAGATGTCCCTTCTTTGTAAATATAATGATTGGAGAATAAAAAAAGAGTTTGATTTTGTGAAAAGAACTTGGGGTGGACTCCCTTGCAGCCCCAGAAAGAGGGTATAGTCTCTCAAAAATGAAAATAAAAGGGCTTGCGAGATTATATCATCTCTCAGGATTTGCAAAGGTGTCCAGCCCAAGTTCTTTTCATAAGATCAAACTCTTTCTTTATTCTCCAATAACCTCTCTCTACAGAGAAGAGACCTATTTCCTTTAAATACAAATTTATAAGGAATAGTAAATAAAAATAAAACAAAAATCACAAGCTAAACTCTATCTCTCCCGTATCTCTTAAAAACAAGTCTACCATATCCCAACCAACCATGCTAATCCCTATCCGTATCCATCCTTTTTAAAAAAGACTAAACTTCCAATTCTATCCCTTAAATCTTTACAACTAAGCTAAGGCAAGAATAACCCTAAACAAAAACTAAAAAACCAAAAAATATATTTTTTAAGTAGCAAAAAGATATAAATAAAATAAAATTAAAAGTCACTTGTTTAGTTGCATCATTCTTCTCTTCCGGGGTTAGGAGAAGCTCGGCCTCGAGCTTACATCCTTGAGAGGCCAATAGAATAATTGGTGATGTACTCCCAACATACGCCTCGGTACATTTTCTTCAATAAACCAATTCATCAAATACTTTATGCTCATCTTGAAATAAACACTGGGATCTCGAGCTCAATTATGATTTCTTTTTCAAATTCCTCATAAAACTTGAGAAGACCAAGCTGGATACCAAGATCATGTGGATATTCCACAAATCGTGGTTCTTGCATCACAAAGTGATCGTCACATTCATAATTGGCACTGCTAGTCAGTAGTGGCACTCGATTCATCTCTACAGTGAAATCTGAAGTTAGATTTTCATGGTTGCGAGCACCCTCTTCTCGAATATTAGTATTCTCCAACCGTTGCAATCACTGATTCATCCCACGAACGTCGCTTTGAATATCTTCCATCACTTTGGTTAGATTTTCTAAAATTTGTTCCATGCAATTATACATATCAGAAGTAGGTTTTGTTGGCATTGCAATGGTTGGATCTTCTCTGCTTTGACACCAACTGATGCAAAAAATAAAAAATAAACTAGAAAAGAAAAATGAAAATAAAAAGGCTTGAGAGATTATACCCTCTCAGGGTCTGCAAGGGAGTCCACCCAAGATCTCTTTTAACAAGATCAAACACTTTCTTTATTATCCAATAACCTCTCTTTATAAAGAAGGAACCTCTTCCCTTTAAATACAAACTTATAAAAAATAATAAATAAAAAGAAAATAAAGATAACAGACTAAACTCTATCTATCCCTTTATCTCTTAAAAGGGTGTGGTTTTTATAAGGTTGCAACCTTAAACAATCCAATTAAGGCGCACCTCCAAATTTCATCATAACATGTAATTTTGGTGTAAAAAATTCTTAGGATTATCTTAAAATCTATTTTCATATCTAATTATAAAATTGTAAACTCTAAAAATGGTTAAAGTCAAGTAGACCTATAAACATATGAAAATCTTGAAAATGGATGATCTGGACCATGTGTTGCAAGATGCACTATTTCTGGGACTCAAAATCATTTTTGTTTCATATTCATATATATCGATGTCGAGATGATCAATTAAAGGGTTTTTCAACATTAAAACAACTTTTTCCGATGGATTTTTGTAGTGCATATGTAATTGTACATTTTAAGGTAGCAATCTTATATAAACTTTTCCCTCTTAAAAACAAGTCTAACATATCCCAACCAACCCAACCATGCTAATCCCTATCCCTATCCATCTTTTTTATAAAAAAAAAACTAAACTTCCAATTAACCCCCTAAATCTCTATAACTAAAAAAAGACAAGAATAACCCTAAAGAAAACAAAAAAATCCAAATAATATATTTTCTAAGGGCTAGAAAAATATAAAAATAAAAAAATTTAAAAACACATGTTTATTCGCATCAACCTTTAAATATATATTTTCCCTTTCCTCAAACTCATGTTCTTTCTACAGTGTGTAGTTGTGTCTAGAATTCTATGTGTGACCAAATATATCCTATGTTGGTCTGCTCCATGTCCCTAATTTTGCAAGTCATAAAAATTTGGAGAACTTATAATTTCAAATTAATTAGAAGAATACTTCTGCTTTCGTCAATTGCGTTGAGGCCTTTGCATTCTCATAGTGAGTCAGCCCTCAAAAGAATTGAAGTAAAAAAAAAGGGAAAAAAACAAGTTATATTGTATTTGCCAGTACCAGTTCATAATAAATAAATAAAACAACAAAACATTTATTCCATATAACTCACACTTATGGCCGCAACCCAGGACTTATTTCTTTCTTATGTGCAAAATGAAGGTTCCCACTGCTCTGCTTGGATCACACAACCTTTAAATGGAATTTTTCCATTTTCTCAAATCCATGCTCTTTTTGTAGCGTGCAGTTGTGTCTTGAATTCTATGCATAACCAATATTATACTATGTTGATCTTGAGCCTACCCCCTAGCCCTAATTTTGTTGGCCCTAAAAACTTGGGGAACTTATAGAGCAATGTTCTAAAAGGAAGAACGCCTAGCACCTAGGCGGTTCAGAGGGCCTGGGCCCTGTGACTATGCAGCTACCTAGGCGTTAAGGAACCCGCTGAGGCGGGCGCCCAGGCCTGCGCTCCTGCCAAAAGGGCGACGATGGGCATTTTTTGGTCTTTTTTAAATAGAAAAAGGGATAATAGTGTTTAAGTTGATTTGAAGCCTAAACCCCACTAGAGTATATTTTTGAGAGAAAAAACCCCAAAAAACTAATTTCGTGATTTACATAAGATCAAAGGGTTTCTCAAAGTTATGAGAAATCGATCTAAACATCATTCATTGAGATTAGATTTAGTTGTGGATGTTTTATAAGTCTATTAGAGGGAGTTTTAGAAGATTTTGACCTTTAAAACATCTTAGAGGTAGAAGTTTGGAGATCGAGCAATCAAAGTTAGTGAAAAAATTTATTTTTTAGGTTGCTCGTATTATTTTGAGATATCTTCTTTGGGATCTATTTGAAGTCGTGATCCGAGTTGGAAATATGGCTATAACCCGAATCTTTTGGATACAAATTAGATACAAATGGGGGAATAAACCAGTTTAAGAAACATCGTATTAGTATCCAGTCGTATTATGACTGGATTTAATAAGTGTGTAGATGAGTTAGTCCCAAATCTGAATATCTACGATATTATATGAGTTGATGAGCTGATAAGTTACAAGTGCTGATTAAAGTCTTTCAGGAGTCCAATAGCAATTAGGCAAAGGACCAAAATTGATCCCGGTAATAATATTCTTAAATCCCTCATGTTCAGTATTTATTTCATGTTGTAGTTTGTTTTCCATAATCTATGATTTTATTATTATATATCTTAATATTTCATATATAATTAATAATTGTAATTCAAAATCAATTTGCAGCTAATTGGTGGAGCTAACATGGGTGTAATGCTCCAAATTTACAAAAGTTGGCCATTTGGATCTTAAGCCTAACCTCTACCTCATCCGGGTATAAAGGGAATTGGAGTACTTTTGAGATGGTAATTTAGCTTATTTTATTAGTTTACAAATTAGAATTTACTAATTTGTATTAGTAAATTAGTACTTAATTAGTTATTAGTTACTTAGCCTTAGTCAATTTACTTATGTCAATTGTAAATTTGTAGTTTTGTAGTATTACTATTATATATTTAAGTATTTATATTAATTAGTTTCATTTTATTTTGTTAGATTCATACAAAGATAAGGAATAAGCTTGAGTCAAAGGGGCTCATTGACCTAGTCTACGACAGGTTTGCTAAGAGAGATAAGAGAGACCCCCCTCAGATAAAAAAGATGAATAATGCTATGGAGTGCTCGGTTGATGATGATTAGGTCGACGACATGAAAAATTGAATGGGATATGGTCATGGAGGCCTTAGGGACATTTGTCGACCCTCCTCGGGCCACTAGATCTTATTCCTAGAGGACGAGGGTAGACGAAGAGGAGGAAACAGAAGCAAATTCAAAAGAGACAGAGGAAGACGACCATTATGTCAAGGAGGGAGATGATTCCGATAATGATGGCTTCGACTCCAATGCATATGATGCAGATGCAGCTGACCCTAATTTTTCTGATGATGAGTGATAACTGATGATTTCTATCATTTTTGTTTTCCTCCTCTTGGTTGTGTATTGTGATTCACTAGTTTGGTAACTTTGGTTTGTAAATTTGAAGTTTTAACTATGTGTGGAGTGTGGTCTATGGATAGTTGGATGTGGACTTATGGAGTATGGAGGAGCATTTTATGTGCCCTAAGTCCCTAACTTTTATGTGTTATACTGTTATTTCTTAATTTCTTTCATTTTCTTGATAATGAATTGATGTGCTATCTTGGATTATGGACTAAAATATGCTTCATCAATATGTAATTTTTTAATTATTTACACAAAATCTGACCCTTAAAACAACTTTTCTTTTTACTTGGCCACCCAGGTTATGGCCGTTCGCCTAGGCACTAGGCGGCAACGATCCTCGGCCGCCAGTGTTTTTTGGAAACACAGTTATAGAGGATATTTTGGGCATATGGATAAGTTTATTTAGGGCTAAGCTAGGGTTTGACATATTGTACAAGTCATTGTGTGTTTTTGGCTCAATAGATAGTGGCACACTCCGTGGGAGCTGCTATAGTGAAACCACTCATCATCTTCGCCCATGGAAGAAGTCGTATCCATGACAAACTATGTGAATCTTGGTGATCTCTTTTCTTTTTCTTTTTTTAAATCTGTTATGCTTTGTGTTTTGATATTGTTCATGGTTGATATTTCTCCCAGTTTTCCAACTTGTCAGACCTGTTTGGTTAGGGTTTCTCAAAACATATTGATGTTTCAGTTGTATCCTTTCTTGTTCCAGTTGCATTCTAAAACAACAAACCAAGAATTGCATCCATTTTATACCCATCAACGTTTAGTTTCTTGTATAGACAACTCAAAAACAGAACAGGCAAATTAACACACGGAAAAACCCAAATAAAATTCTAAGTTTTCAGAATTATACAGTATAAAGAAACCAGAATTCCCTGAAAGAAAAATATACATTCGACAATCTACATAGCGTAATAACAAACCGGAACTACCATGAAAAATTCAACAAAAAAATATCTAAAAACTCCAAGAAATAAGTTTTTCTATGAAAATCAGAGAAATAGATGTACAATCCATGAATTTGCCTAATAACCAAACTTTCCATACAAAAAATAAAAGCACACGCAAAAATATGCTTAAATAATAGACTGAAGAGAAATATGCAATACCTCGTGTGGCGTAAAACGTGAATCCCTGGTTCTTGCAGGACGAGACTTTCCCATAAGAAAGAAGAACACTGATCGTCGAGGGTTATTGCGTTAGGGTAGGTGTTTTTTGATAGAGAGAGATGGGATAGAAATTGTAAAGAGAGAAACTATGCGAAGGGAGAGGGAGAGATATTATGGGAGAGAAGAAGCTTATGCGCAGGGGAGAGAGGGTGGACGCACAGAGAGTGAGGCGTTGGGAGATTGAGAATAAAAGAAATGCGGAGAGAGAATTTTGAGAGCCTTTTGGCGTAAGAAGAGATTTTCATTTTATAAGCAATAGAATATAGAAGACATACATGGAGAGAAATTCTAGGCATAAAGAGATCTTTACGGAAATTTACAGAGCGATGATATGGGCCTTGGCGATAGTATTACCAAGCCACGTGGTCGACTCTAACTTTATTATCACTAAAAGGTTGGGGCTCAAATTCGCACTAACATGGAGGTAGGGGTTCAAATATCCTCATGGTCTTATCATTTTTTTTTTTGGAAAAGACGATTGGTTCGAGGTGGCAGCACCGCACAGGACTTAAGTGATGGTGCTAGCACCCTACATCCTAGCTACTACCTTGTGGTTGACTATTAGAGCCACGGTGGTACCACCTAACATCCTAATTATCATGTTGGGGTTTTCATCCCTACCATTGACACCATCCTTAATACCTTAAAAAACAAGCTAACTCCTAATCTACTTGAAAAAATGGGCGGAACATGTCTTCCCCCAAAGAGAGAGATGAAGAGAAAAATATTTTGATGCGAAATAAATTTTTGTCGTTACCTGATAATGTTGTTACTACCATTGGTCTGGGTTCGGTGATTAAAAAAATGTCGGGTCGACGTAGAATCATCTAATTTAAGTCGAGAATCGGTCACCTTGTTTTGGTTTTACAAATATATAAGAAAAAAATCGAGTCTAAAAGGAAACTGGTAGTTCTGCACGATAGAACAAGTATCTATTGTAAAACGACAGCGATCTGAATGACCTATTTATCGATTGGATCGATTTTTTGTCGGTTCACTATTTTTTCTCCAACTCATTGTTTTTTTTTTCATATAGTAAAATAGTGATTCAGATTGTCGATTCATCGATGCAGGTTGATTTTTTAGGTGCCTGATCCAAATCATCGATCCACTTTTGAGTTACCATATTGGGGTTTGCATTCCCACCACTAACGCCGCCCTGGTGATATATTAAAAAAACTAACTCCTAATCTACTTGAAAAAAAAGGTAGGATATGTATTCCCCTGAAAAAAAGAGAGTGATGAAGAGAGAATATTTTGATGCGAAATAATTTTTTGTATATATATATAAATATTAATTTATTTTTTATATTTAAAAATAGCAACGTACATTTTATATCTTCCAATCATGTCTCATTTTTAATAACATATCAAGCATAACTTAATTTATATACATCAAATTAAACTCGAATTTCGTATGTTGAGTTTAACATACAGTATGTTCCGGCCGGAACATACTATAAGCACTCTTAACCTATCGCTTTTGTACCGACTGCTCCATTGGTGGATTAATTCTTAATATAATCTTTCCAAATCGTCAGCGTTGATTTCAATTTTCAAATAGAGAGAGAAGCAACTTAAAAACAAGTGCCACATCAGCAGCTCCACGAAGGCGGGATGGGGTGCGAAATTTCAACACGTTAAAGTAGACGTCCCGTTGTAAACGGAACGGAGCAAATTAAAAAGCCCAAAAAACACAATGAGACAAAAATAGGCAGTCACTTTTGATAGAAAAGACAAAAATATCCTCACTTTTATACCTTGATAAGATGTTTTCTTAAATATTCGGAAACTAAAAGGTTTAGTGCTCCCGGGGCAGCATATAGTACATTCAAACCCCCCCAACCCCTATCTCCCTAGTGGCCCCCCAAAACACCCCTACCCCATCCAAAAACAAAAAAATCAGGAAAATAAACAATGACATCATTTATTTTTTATACAAGGTGATTGCAATTAATCTTCACATAAATTAGAATTTATGACTGCATTTATTCAATTAATCAAGCTCAAACTTCAAAATGGTTGTAAGTAAATGTGTCCTCTTTGTATCAAATGTTAATGGTATCGTTGTATACAATTCAAAAAAAGTATAAAATAAATAAATAATGATATCGTAAAATTAAATATTGTTTGACATTTTGATTATTAAATTCAAATCTTTAGAAACTCAAAATCCAAATTTATAGGAGATGAAGTTTTACACATTTTGTCCTTTTGCTACTATTCCCACTCAATATCATTTGTTTTTTTGTAGATATTTTGAAATAAGATAAAAATTATTGATAAAGTGATAAATTGTTAAACTCTAAAGTCGGAGCAGCTCATGTTTGACGTTTGAAGGTTGGAGTTTACTGGTACAACTGCGGCTTGAGTGGCATAGGACAGGGGACTCCATCTAAAATAGGGTTTTGGCCGTTGTTGTGTTATGTATAACTCTTACTCTTCTCCCTTCCATAAAGATTTGATATCCCGCTTGAATGATAGAAAGATTTAACATCTTGTTTAGCCGTTGCTCGCAGTCGGATCTGATGCCGAGAGCTGCCTCCAATTCCCATTCTCAAAGCTAAGGAAGGCCTAAGAGGAAGGATAGAAGCAGAGCTCATGGGGAAAAAAGGAAGGTATGCTTGACGGCGAAATCCACAACGTGTGAAGTATCTGACTAAATAAGCAATTGATGAAGCTTAGTTGATAGGAACAAAGGGACATAGTGTGTGAAGCATCTATAGAACGAGCAGCAACCGATTGAGAGAGATGAAGGGAGAATCGCAGAACCAAGCACACGGGGAAGATGGCTGAAAGATCAGATTCGCGGAACCGTTGGGCCCAAGTGATAGAAGAGTCAGCTTGTCTAGAGCCAGGATCCATAAAATTTCCCTTTTTTTCATTTATTCACCTAACATACTCCCAGTGAAAAAAATAAAGTGTAAATGTGGAAATATAGAGTTAGACGCTATTGAGGCTCAAAAGATCAATGTTCACAGTTAGCCCGAGAGAGAGCGGGAGCGAGAGAGAGTAAATTGCTTGAGATGAGCATAACAATTTTATCATGGGATTTTTTTCAATATACCTACAATATATGCATTATTTAAAATTCTATCTATTTGCAACTATCTAACTCATAATAATGCTTTTTATGGGTAAAAATACCTCACCTTATATGAGCATTTTGATAAAATTTCTTTTATTTATTCATAAATACATTATCATTCTTCCCAAATGTTAGTTTGTGTATTGGAGGGAGTGAGACACTAGTAAAATATTGCAATACGTACAATGAATACTTTAATAAAAAAATATATAAAGAGACCATTTATTTTTTGTTCAAGGAGGCATGTGTACTATAGAAAAGATTACCACCTTCCAAAAAAAACTATAAAAACCAGAGTATTTTTAGGATTTCAAATTCAGGTATTAACCTAATAACCAACTTATAAAGCAAAGTGTATACCCATTTTATAGATGCCTAAAAATAACATGCCAATATTGTTTAACTTTGGATAGTCAAATCTAGTTTTTAGATCCTACAATCAAATTTTAGCCTTTTTCCGAAGGTTTTGTCAATGATTATAAATGGATAGTGAAAAGTGAAAAGATTTGCAGCTCCTCTGGTAGCATTTAGGGCATTTGCTCCCTCAAAACTCATGTTATGGATATATATTTTTTTTTCGAGAACTTAGAGATGTAACCTCTAGAACATAATAGCTAATTTCATAAAAAAGGAAAAAAAAATCCAAATAATGTATAAAAATCTCTATGTGCCTTAAAAAAATGAACATCCCAATATTGGATAAGAATAGCTAATTTCATAAAAAATGAAAAAAAAATCCAAATAATATATAAAAATATCTATGTGCCTTGAAAAAATGAACATCCCAATATTGGATAAGAATTGTTTACTTATTTGAGGGAAAGATTTAGGTGTTATAAAACTAAAAATCTTAATTTAAAATAATAATAAAACTCATAATCCAATTTTTTCCCATGAAAATAATCACCTGGTGATACTTTTAGATATCTTCCAAATAGGTATGATGCTCAAAAGAGTAAATATATACTATGCTCTTGCAACAACATAATATGCACTTTTAAAAAGTGAAAATAAGTTAACTGTTGGGAAAAATAATTCCAAATGGATAATTATCGGTGTAAAACTTTACCGAATTTTTAACCTAGGTTATAGAATAAATGTAGTCTCCGTGCCACCGCGGGTGTATACTACAGTTGGAAGGGAAAGAAGCACAAAGCGCAAAGGGGCGAACCGTCAATTAAACAAGAGTTTGGGATAACACAATAATTCCCACCAACAAAAGCCGTTGCCGTTTGGGCGCAGCCTGGTAGTTGATGCATCAAAAGGGCTGAGAAGAGAGAGAAAGAGGAGAGAGAAAGAGGAGAGGAAGAGAGAGAGAGAGGCGTCGAGGATCCGGAATCAGGTTAAAATATAAGTCTCAGAGAACGCCATTTAAGCTTCCTTCGCCACGAAGATCGATGGATGCCATTGCTGCTCCGAAGAGTATTTATAGCCATCCAAACCCTACGCTTCTGCGAAACCGCATTTATATTCTTCTTCGACTTTCTCTCTCTAAACCTTGACTGGGTTATTGCCTGCAGCTTGTACGTGTTTCTCTCTCTAAAGCTTTCAAATTTCTTTGATCTTATTGTGTCCATTTTGACTCTGCAATAGTTCCCTTTGATGTGTAATGGATTAGTGGTTCAGAAAATTGATGGTTTAGTTATCTCTTTCTCTCTCTAACTCTATGGGTACTGAGTTTCTTCTACACCCATTGAATTCTCCATTCCTTGTTTATTTATCTTCATTTATGCACAACAAACCATCCTTTTTGGGTTTCTCTCTCTCTCTCTCTCTCTCTCTCTCTCTCTCTACTACTACTACTTA